TACAACCCAAATGGAGCCCAGAATGTATGTTGCTAAGTGAGGATGTTAAGTGAGTTTTACCCCCCATCTTACGACTTTTCTTGCCACAGTTGTTAAGTGAATCTCTGCGGCTGTTAAATTAGCAACATGGTTGTTAAGCGAATCTGGCTCCCCCATTCACTTTGCTTGTCAGAAGGTCACAAAAGATGAGCGCATGACTCCTGGGGCGCTGTAACCATCATGAATACAAATCAGTTGTCAAGCATCCGAATGTAAATCGCGTGACCATGGGGATGCTGTTACAGTCGTAAGTGTGAAAAAGGGTCATAAGTCACTTTTTCAGTGCCGTAATAACTTTGAACTCTCACTAAATGAACTGTTGTAAGTCGAGGACTATCTGCAGGGACTAGGCCTCAGTATACCTGTCAGATGGAGAATATTCTCTGGAGGGACCTTAGAAAACCATCTGAAACAGTGTTATGCCATAAAGCAACCTGTTTTTCTTGTAAAAGGGGTGGTTTCACAAATCTGAGGTAAAGAGAGCACCAGACAGTGCGGGAATACTTGAAACCATTTGGGTTACCTCAACATTGTAAAAAACTTTTCTTAAACCACAGGGGGAAAAAACTCAGATGAAAAATTGCTGGCTTGAGTAGCTGGAGTCTGGGTTCTCCTGGCCGCTCTTGGTATGGCTACAGGTCCACCATGGTCCCTCGCTCAAGTACCTCTACTTGCCTGGGTCACACGGTGGGGTGATGGTCAGTTTTTTCCCAGCAGGCAGGTCACAGGATGAGGTGATCAGGTGGCTGGTCGGCCCTTCTTGATCTCTGTCTTTCTCTCCACTCTCTCTCTCTCTCTCTCTTGAACTACTTGCTGGGCTCTCCTTCCACAGCCTCTGCTCCTTCGTTGATTCCTATGTTTGCCTGCCTTTCACTCAAATGCTTCTCTCCCTCAGGCTTGTCCCACAGAAGCCTCTCTTTTCCTCTTTTCTTCCTCAGGTTTGCCCCACAGAAGCCTCTCCTCTCCCCTTCTTTCTCTCAGGTTTGCCCCGCAGAAGCCTCTCTTTTCCTCTTTTTTTCCTCAGGTTTGCCCCACAGAAGCCTCTTCTCTCCCACCCTTTTCTCTCCCTCAGTCTTGTCCCACAGAAGCCTCTTCTCTCCCTCAGGTTTGCCCCGCAGAAGCCTCTCCTCTCCCCTTCTTTCTCTCAGGCTTGTCCCACAGAAGCCTCTCTTTTCCTCTTTTTTTCCTCAGGTTTGCCCCGCAGAAGCCTCTTCTCTCCTACCCTGTTCTCTCCCTCAGGCTGGCCCCGCAGAAGCCTCTCTTTTCCTCTTTTCTTCCTCAGGTTTGCCCCACAGAAGCCTCTCCTCTCCCCTTCTTTCTCTCAGGTTTGCCCCGCAGAAGCCTCTCTTTTCCTCTTTTTTTCCTCAGGTTTGCCCCGCAGAAGCCTCTTCTCTCCCACCCTGTTCTCTCCCTCAGGCTGGCCCCGCAGAAACTAACTGCATACAGCTCTCAAAGGGGCACCATCTCCAATATACACTACATGACTAAATAAATAAAATAAATAAATAGAAAATTATGCATATGCACACATCTATTATATGATACAGAGAAACCACAGTGTCTAGTTTGGATGTATACGTGTAAATGGCGAGAAAAAAAAAGAATCTTGCGAGTTTACCCGATGGATTGCACAGGGGACAGAACTGTTACAGAATCTGGTAGCCCTGTTAGAAATACTTCAAAATCTCCTCCCAGAGGGGAGCAGCAGGAACAGACCATAAAGTGGGTGTGTGGCAGGGGTGGGATACGACAGGGTTAACTACCAGTCCGGGATTTACGAGCTTCCCTGCAGTCTGCGAGATGCGCACCTGTGAATCGGCATCAGCAGCTGCGTGCAGAGAAGCAGCCTTTGAAACTGCCCTCTTTTCCTGCTTTTTTAACTGCAGCTGTGCCTCGTTCGGCAGCTGAAGTTGAAAAATCAGGAAATAAAGATCAGGTAAGAGCCCAGGTGGGTGGGCGGGCAAAAACATCAGCAGACATAGAACCGATTCTATGTCTGCTGCTCTTCAGAGCTACCGGTTCTACAGAGGTGGACAGAACCAGTAGAAACCCACCCCTGGTGTGTGTGGGTCTCTAACAAAGCTTCGAGCTCTAAGCAGACAGCACTTATAAATTTCCCGCCAAAACCTTTTATTACCTTCTCTCTCTCTTCCCCCCTCACTCGAAAAGAGATCATGGGGAAGGTTAATAGCCATTTCTATGTTAGGAAATACTTCTACTCTACACTACAGGTTTGGTTTTGTAGTATGTCTGGCCAACAACCCGGGAAGGAGAGGTTAAAGATGGTGGATGCAGGCTTGATTGGATAGTTGCAACTGTCATCTTGACTCTTTTGATCTCCACTTTGGACACTTTTTCTGAAAGATGACGTTCTCTATCAGTGTTTCTCAGTAGTGACAATTTTAAGACGTGTGGACTTCAGCTCCCAGAATTCCCCTGCCAGCGTTGCAAGGGAGATTAGGCTGGAACTCTTTATCTGAATGGACATTACCACAATCAGATTTTCATTGGTTTCCAGAAGTAGTCAGCATGCAGTCAATCACCAGTTCGCACACCACCATCAAAGGCACTGATGATGCTACCTAGTTGGGCCATGAAATGTCTGCAAACAGTCAAGTTCAGAAAGCACCAAGAACTCCACCAGTCAGCTCTGAACTACATATATTCTCTTATATTGAGACTAGAGATAATCATGATAATTATTCAACAAGGGAGATCTTCACAGGCAGGAACACCTCCCTCCAGTAGTCACCATTTGTTATTTTGAGGAACCATCCTCCATTTTGGATTTCTTTTCTAAAGATGTAAGATGTTTTTGTAAGCTTTGGGGTTCCCTTGAAGGCTTCAACAACCCCTCTTCTTCATGATGCAGTTGCAGCTTTGCAAGAATGAGAAATATTGGAAGGACGGAATTATTTTTAACCTTCATTTCAAGGGATTTTGTGGATTTTGTTTGGACTGGAGATTGGCAAGTAAAGTGGGCATTCACACACGTTTTTCCTTCTTAACAATAATAACAAAAAAGGCTGTCCAATAGGGTAACAGATTGCTTCAGGGAGTGGTGGGCTCTTTTGCACTGTTAATAGTTAAATGGCTAGATGGCCATTTGCTGGGGATGCTCTACTAGTGAATTCCTACACTGAATTAGGGGCTGGATTAGATGCTCTCTAAGATCCCTTCATTTCTCAGAGTTATGACTTTTGGAAAAATAAAAGGCTATTTTACCTGTAGCCTTTTTTTCTACTTGCGCTGTTTGAAGACATGAAAGTACACCATATCATTTTTAAGTACAAGTAGTCCTCAACTTACAACACTTCGTTTAGTGACCATTCAAAGTTACAACAACACTGAAAAAGTGTTTCACACAATCATTTTAGCATCCCCATGGTCCTGTGACCCAAATTTGGAAAAAGTGTTAAAAGTAACATTCGCATAATTGCAGAATGCTGCAATAGGCTGTAAAAGTGAGTGGCTGCCAAGCACCAAAAATGAAGTCATGCTACTGAAGGGTGGGTGCTACTATTGGAACTCTGGAACCAGGACATGAGTACCTTTTGGGAGTCCATTGTAAACTTTGAACAGTTGCTTAGTGACTGGTCATTAAGTGAGGACTACCTGTATGGCAACTGAACATCAAACAGACCTGGAATGCAATTGCTTGAGGAACATTCATATCAAACTAGTTTAGGAGACTTTAGGATCTCTCCAAGGTGCCAGAGAAGCTGAGGTTGCAGCTGAACCTGGTTAAGACACCAGGACATGTAAACAGCTACAAAATCAGGATCTGTTTTGGGATCCAAATCAGTTTAAACGGGACATGAGACTTTCTGGGACTTTCCAAACTGAGGCTCAGCTTCTATGGAGAAGTAGAGCCTCACTAGCCAGATGCAGGGCTCTAGGGACAGAAACCAGAAATCCAATAAATCTGCCGCTCTTTTAAGGCACCTTTCCTGCAATAGACTTAAATCTTTGAATCAGGGAGGCAATGAAAGAAATATACCTATTCAAACCATCATAACACCTGTAAAGGCAGGTAGGGTGTGGCTAGTTATCCTTCTTTTCCTGTAGCTTATAATCAAACAATTGTTCAGCCAACTTTCACTGCAGCTGCATGAGTCAACCATGACTAGAAGTCTAATTGCAGTTGCTTGTGGAAAAAGAAGGGGCTGCATAGAAATCCCATGTAATATATGCTAGACTAGAGGGATATTAACACTACGGAGTCCCATCTCTCCCAGCAGACTTGATGGGTTAAAGAAGTTAAGAATCCACCTCCCGACCCACTTGCGCTCCACGGCCACTTTGGCCTTGGACTACTGCCCACTGCCTGAGACAGTTTTCACCTGAGTGACGTGATCAACGTTTTCCATTGCTCCTCTCTTGGACTTTTGGGGAGGGTTCCCCCCCACACCGCCCCACTTGGAAGGAAGCTGAATGAAAACTAGACGTGTTCCAGAAAACACAAATTTTCTGGGACACATCTAACCAGTTCGTAGAACTCAACAAAAAAAATTAGGTACTGATTCTACCAAACCGGTACAAATCGGCTGAATCCCACCACTGCATCTCCTGCTCCCCAGTTGTTCCCCAATGCCTGGAGATGAAACTCTTGGAGGCTGTTTTAGGCCAGGAGACCTCTTCCAGGCTCTTCTGTGAAATCCCACTTGAGTTTCTCATGTCACCCGGGTCATGGTTTTGTCCCAAAGGTACTTTTTCAAAAGGCAACTGGACCTCCTTGGTTTGTTCCTTAAAGATGTTTTACTCTCATTCCAGAGTGAACTGAGAACTGAAGAAGATTCTTGAATGAGTATCAAAATTGCCTTCAAGGAAAAAACAAAGGAAGCCCAGTTGCCTTTTGAAAAAACACTCCTGAGAGTGTTTCCCACTTCACAGGGACCTCAAGGCCTCAGCCATGCTCTGCTCCCCCAGGAACACCAGCACACTTGACCCAGTTTGCACATTCCCTTCCTGCAGGAGAAGAAGAGCCAATGCCTTTACTTCTTTTTCTCTTTTTCCACTTGGTTGTAAGCAGGGCTGAAGCGCACCAGAAGCAGCATCAGGAGGGGAACGACTAAGAAAGGAGCAAAGGCAGTGGAGAGAGGAGAGGTGTTTCTCCAGGGTTCCTGGGCTGGGGAAATCAGCAAACAGGATCTGGGCCAGGCAACTGCCACAGGAATTATGTGTGTTGCATAGATCACCACAGGAATTCGGATCTACTTGCAATTCCCTGCATTTAAAAGAAAAAAAAAATTCCACTGTTGCAGTCCCAGGTCAAAACTCTATGGATGACTTCTTGATGTGCATCGAGATATAATTACTGCAGATTGTGCCATCTTTTATCATTTGATGAAGATAAGCCCACCTAGGCCACCGCTAAGCCCACCTAGGATACCACCAGTTTGCCCAGTCTGGCATACGCACCTCTGAGCCCGATGGTTTTCGTGAACACTTTCCAATCTTCAACTCTGTGTGGGAGTCCTTGCCTTCTTCTCTTCAGGAATTCTGTCTCCAGCCCACCCCATTCCCAACCTCCAGCCATTCTCCAAAAAAATAACCCCAATTCATCTAAACTGGCACCTTTCCAGAAAGCATAGGTGGCAGTGGGGAAGAAAATCAGTTCCAGAATGGTTTCCATGTAAAGAAGGGAGCGAAATAAGGGCTCGGGATTCCCCATTAGTGGATCCTTGAAGGTAGTTGTGTACCAGGTGAAAAACTGGGACAGCTTAGGGACATAAAAAACAGGTGGTCAGTGAAAGGGGAGGGGGAGAACAGGAGGGGGAGGAGAAAGAGGAAGGCACGCAAGTCCTTCTTTAATCTTCTATCAATGGCGGGAGGTGAAGAACTGGCCCACTTTATTTTTTAAAAGTACTACCTATGTATATGTATATATATATATATATATCTGTCTGTTATTTTTGTCTATCTAAATCAGGGGTCCCCAAACTTGGCAACTTTTAAGACTTGTGGACTTCAACTCCCAGAATTCCTCAGCCAAAGCAAAGCTGGCTGAGGAATTCTGGGAATTGAAGTCCACAAGTCTTAAAAGTTGTCAAGTTTGGAGACCTCTGATCTAAATCAATCAATCTATGAATCTATCACTAGGCAATGTAAGGATCAAGTCCAGCTTCTTTTAACACTGATCCAAGAAGAAACAGCCAAGGCCCTTTTTAAAAGCAGAGACCAAGCAGGGACGAGAGGATTAGCATATAAGACTCCAGGAATAGGTGAACTATAGATTTTATCTTGGGTCACATAGAGTTATTGATCGGTCGGATTTATGTGGCCTCCCATCTTATATGCAGAGACTCTGGGTGGCCTACGATAAAACGAAGGATTAAAACATTTTGCAAAGCCCTCAAAACGATAAACAAAGATCAACCACAAGGAATGTGTTTATGTAATAGTTTGATCCAGAAACTTAATTCCAAGAAACCCAACTTGCTGCAAGATTACTGGAATCTAGCCCAATAGGCTTATTTGCAAAAACCTCTAGTCCAATTCTTTTACTAAACCCAGAGTGTGGGAAAGCGCATTCTTAAGAGTAGTAGCCCCCACCTTCCTAAAAGACCCTTGGTAATCCAGACAAGCTAGGAAGGAGACTCATCTGGAGCTAGATGATGCGACGCAGCTTCTTCCCATTCCACAATGAATCCCGGTTTGTCAACCTCCAAACAGCCGGGCAGGACCTCAGCCCGCTCCAAATACGCAAACCCGTTTGCAAATTTCTTCGTGAGGTGGAGCTCTGACGCCTTAGGGTGGAACAGCTAGTATAAGATCTCGGTGGTTCCTCTCTATGGCAGGAGGGTAAACTACAGGCAACAACAAAGGCATATCGATTGAATAACATCCACGGGATGTGAGCGAGGAAGTAGAAGACGAAGGTCCACTTGAGGGCGTGACCTGCGATCATCGCCTCTTGCATATCCGTAGGACTGGTGGGGGCTGGGAAGAAGGCTCACTTTTCTCCTTACCGTTCGACTCTCCCGAAGAGGGTGTGGGCTCGTGTCCACCCAGTTCTTCAAGCAGACCTCTTGGGCGTGTGAAGGGTCTTTGCTAAAGTCCCAAAGGTGCTTTTTTTCCCAAGAGGCAACTGGATTTTCTTGTTTTTAATTTGAAGACGTTTCGCTTCTCATCCAAGAAGCTTCTTCAGCTCTGACTCTACCATTCAGTCAGAACTGAAGAAGCTTCTTGGATGAGAAGCAAAAGGTCTTCAAAGAAAAAGGAGAAAGTCCAGTTGCCTCTTGAAAAAGCACCTTTGGGACAATCATGACCTGGATGACCGAGAATCTCCATAGGCATCTTCATTAAAGGTCTCACCGGACGCCCTTATGTTACTCACACACCTGACCAAGCGTGTCTGGACGTTTCTTGGGTCATGTGGACTCTAAATCTGAAAATTGCCCATTTAAACCAATAGGAATAGAAAAAAATCCCCATGAGTTTAATCCACTTGGTGTGTGGGAGGTATTCCCATGAATACCTCCTGTAGTTGTTTTTTTGTTTTACTTATCAAATGTATATGGCTGCCTATCTGGCTCCAAGTGACTCTGGATGCTGTACAATAAAACCAAGAATTAAAACATGTTACAAATCCATTAAAATAGGCATAGATAAAACAAGGCAATGTTGGAATGCTTTTATTAGACAACACTGCTATTCACCTGAATCCCTGCACCTGAGGACAAGACAAGAAGAAAGGGCTGGAAACATACCTAAGAGGTGGGTATTCAGCAGGTTCTGACCAGTTCTGGAGAACCGTTAGCAGAAATTTTGAGTAGTTTAGAGAACCGGCAAAGGCCACCTCTGACTGACCCTACCCCCATCTATTCTCTGCCTCCCAAGTCCCAGCTGGTCAGCTGAGTCTTCTTTCGTTGCCCTGCACAGGAGAACGAAGGTGGAAAGCAGGTTAGTGGGATGGGGAGGGAATGGGGATTTTGCCAGTAACCTTCCCCCAGGAGTGGGGAGGGAATGGAGTTTACAGTATCCTTCCCCTGCCACACCCACCAAGCCACGCCCACAGAACCATAGTAAAAAAAATTTGAATCTCACCACTGGATCCAACCTAGAACTAGGGAGGACAGCAATAGTCAGTGAGAAAAAATATCAGTAGAATGGGTTACCTCTAGATCAGGGGTCTCCAACCATGGTAACTTTAAGGCTGGTGGACTTCAACTCCCAGTTGAAGTCCACCAAGATTTAAAGTTGCCATGGTTGGAGACCCCTGATCTAGATGTTGTGGGTGCTCGATCACTGGAAGCGTTTAAGAAATTGGACTGTTATTTGTCTCTAGAATGGCATAGAGCAGTGGCCCCCAACCTTTTTTGTGCCACAGTCCAGTACCGGTATCACAAAATGATCCACGGCCGGTACCGGCATCAGCACTCATGACAAGGCAAGACGAGCCGAGCCAGCCAGCTGTCCCCCGCTTATCCCCGCCACCTTCAACTCCTCCTTTGTACCTTTTTTGTGCTTTTTTGTGTTTTCTTAATCTCCTCCGCCATCGGAACGGCTCTTCGTTCGAAGCCTTCCCCCGCTTCGATGAAACTAAGGTGCGAGGATTCCTTCAGGACCCAAACGCCGCTTTCCAACCGGAAAAGCTGACCCGGAAGCACTTTCTCGTCGAAACAGGCATGATATTCCCCTCTGAAAAAAAAATCTGAAAAGTAGCCAGGGGTGCAGGGGTTGCCTAAGCACCTGCTAAGCATCCGATCAGCTCCCCGCCCTGACCTCAACTAACACCTCCCTTTCTCTCTTTCCTCTCCCCCCCACCTCCCCTCCAGGTCTTCCCCAGCGACCCCTCCCTGCATGGAAGCCTCAGCTGGTGCTTTTGGGCTCTTCCTCGCCCCCCTGCATGAGATCCTCCGAGCTGCAGGCTAAAGGCGGCAGGGCTCCTCCGGGCTGATCGCCCAGGAGGAGAAGAAAGGGAGGGGAAAGGGTGGGGCGGGGCTGATTCCCCCCAAAAATCGGAATTCCAAAGAATATCATGTCTGTCGAACCAAGATGGCGGCGCCCAGCAAACTGGCGGCCCGATAGAAAATGATCCACGGACCGGTACCAGTCTGGGGCCTGGTGTTTGGGGACCCCTGGCATAGCGTATTCTGCCTGATCAAGGAGTTGGATTAGAAGACCCCCAAGGTTCCTTCCAATTCTGTCATACTATTACTGTTACTAAAATGTTTCTCCTACACTACTCTAATGCTCAGAGGTCTCCTGGTGGTTTCCCATCCAATTGCCAATCAAAATCTACAAAGCTTTACTTTTGAAGTTTAGTGCAGTTTGGCTAGGGCAAGGCTCTTCAAACTTGTCAAGTTTAAGACTTGTGGACTTCAACTCCCAGAATGCCTGAGCTAACATGACCTGAATCCTGGGAGTTGAAGTCCACAAGTCTTAAACTTGACAAGTTTGAAGACCCCTGGCCTACGGGGTTGCTCTGAGTCAGAGCTCTCCAAACTTGGCAACTTTAAGACTTGTGGATTTCGACTCCCAGAATTCCTGAGCTAACATGACTGGAGGATGAATTCTGGGAGTTGAAGTCCACAAGTCTCAAAGCTGTCAAGTTTGGGGACCTCTGCTCTGAGTTAATTTGCTAATATAAACTGAGAAAGAAAGGACCTAAAATCCCTTCAATGTAATATTTAAGTCAACCTGATATAGTGATTAAAGAAATTCTCTAGAAGCAAGGAGGCAGAGTTAGTCCTGCCTTTAGGCATGAAACCAGCTGAGTTTTCTGTGTGAGTTCCTCCCTCTCAACTCCATAAAAAAAGGAAAGGACAATCATTTCTGAAAAATGGGTCCAGGCAGCACCCGAAGGGAGGATTGATTTGAAGGGTATGTAATCCTGTCCCGGCCTCTGAAATGTCACCAGGTCTCCTGATTCTGAACCAGCCTTCCACCCAGATGTGTATGCAGAAAAAGCAGAGCTTTGATTACATCCCTGTAAACTCACAAAGCATTCCTATGCCTGTTTTAGTAGTTACCATAAAAAAAGGGGTGGGGGAGGAAGGAAATCTGGAAGGGCAGTTTGAAATTGAAAGTACATTCCAACACTTAACTTTAAGAGATTGTAACTAAGCTACCAGAGCTTTTGCCCGTGAATATATTTAATTGGAGAACGTGAATGATGACACCCAACCCATGAACATGCTTAAGTGGAGAATCTTATTTATGAGACAGCCGGGGGGAGGGAGGAAACAGGGTCATAGATGACTGAAAATTACATATGCCAGAGTTGGCTTCATACAGGGCAATGCCAGTATGTTGCCTCTAATAAATCCTTTGATGTTTTTTGAAGTTTGGCTCGAGAGTCATGATTTAATTAGGGCGATTGCTGGAATCCTGACAATGCCCTTTTGACTTTACTTCATCTTATGGAGTGAGATTAAAATTGAATTCAGGTGCCTTCCTCTTTCTCCTCCCCCTCCTGTTCCTCCTCTCTTTCACTGGCCATGTGTCATCTGTTTCTGGCATGCTATCTTCTCTCTACTGAACATCACCATGATATAAGTGCAGTGGTAAATGCAGCATTTCAAAAGACAATTAATTGTTCCATGAAAGCATGTTATTGTTGGGATTCAAAGAGTTGACCCGTTTATCTCCTGAGGTGAATCCCGACACATTGTCTTGATTGGGAAGTGAAAGTCCGATCCTGCCGTTTGCAATCAACTTGATCGGAAGGCGTCTCTTGCTTTTAAGGATCCCACCCCAGTTCGATTTGTCTCGTGTCAGCGCGAACGTACAGCGGGGATGGGGTGGGAGAGGGTTTGTCACCCCAACGCCTCTCATTACCCAAAACAAAACACAAAAAATCATTGGGGAAGTTATGGCACAACCTGGGAATTGAAACCACATTCTGTTTGGTAATTAGTGGCGTTTAGAATTGCGGGGTGGAGGCATGTAGGACTAATGGGGAGGGCAGATGTTAGATGCATGGGGTGGGGCTGCTTGATAAATTGTGCTGAGAGACGAATGATTTCAGTGCTGACTTTATTCGGTACATCCGTTGTTGCCGTGTTTGAAGGAAAACAAGCAAAAATAAACGTACCTATTCACAACGAATCCTGTGAGTAACATAGTTTGTTGCTATAGTTCCCACTTGAACAAATGAAGGCTAACAGAAAGTCAGTACTGTTCTTTATTCTCAAACAAACAAACCTACTTCACTGTGGATAATGGCAGCAGGCATAGATCCCGAATGGACAGTGGAGGAAGGCGCAGAAGTGGCTGAAGATAATGGTGGAGAGGGTAATGGAGTAAATGGACTGATCAGGGAATTAAGGCGGGGGCATTGATAGATTCAGGGTGCACAAGATGTTTAATAACTCAAGCAGTAATTGATAAATTAAATTTAAGAGTTATTAAATTAGGTGTTCCTATTAAATTTGAACAGGTGGATGGATCTATATTGGGTGGAGCTCCAGCTACTCATAGAACTGAATATATTAAATGGTGATGGGGGAGCACTGGGACTGGATTTCTTTTGTGGTGGTTCCTCACATGAGCGAAGCATTAATTCTGGGACTAGCTTGGCTTGATAAATGGGAACCCACGATACAATGGGAAAGTGATTATCGTAAATTACGTCTAGCTATTGGTCCTAATCCACCAGGCCATGATGATGGCCTGCCTTGCCTTTCAACTAATACAAATCAAGTAAGAGAGGGAACACTTACTGAAAAAAAACTATCCAATTGAGTATGAAGACTTAGCAGATGTATTCAAGGAAGATGGGACTGATTATTTACCACCCCATCGACCTACGGATTGTGGCATCGAATTGATCCCAGGAGTGGCATTGCCCAAACCATGAATGTACTCAGTGACCCCAAAGGAATTGGAGGAAATGAGAAAATACATCGATAAAAATTTTAAAAGAGGATTTATCACTCCAGGAAGATTCCATATGGCAGCGCCCGTGTTATTCCGAGGAAAAAAAAAAGATGGTTGTGTTTATGTGCTGACTACCGAAGATTGAATGCCATCTGTGTAGAACCATTGTATCCATTGCCATTAATGAAGGACTTACTAGCCACACTAGCCAAAGGATGGATATTCACGAAACTACACTTAAGAGAAGCCTATTATAAAGAATTCGAGAAGGGGATGAATGGAAAACCATGTTTAATTGCCCTCTTGGTAGTTACTACTATAATGTTATGCCATTCGGATTGCAAGGAGATCCAGCAGTATTCATGCAATTGATAAATGAAGTGTTACATGAACATTTGTATAAAGGTGTTTTAGTTTATTTGGATGATATTTTAATTTATTCTAATTCTAAGTAAGAACATATTAAATTAGTTAGACAGGTGCTTAAAAAATTATTGAATGCCCAACTTTATGTGAAATTATCGAAATATGAATTTCACACTAAACAATTGGATTATTTGGGGTATTGTATTTCAGAATGAGGAGTGGAAATGGACCCCCCAAAAGTGGAAGCGGTATTAAAATGTCAAGCTCCAAAAACCAGGAAACAACTGCAAAGTTTCTTGGGATTTGCAAAGTTTTACAGACAATTTATTCCATGTTTTGCTGATGTCGCTATACCACTGACGGATTTATTATAAACTAAATCTATTGGTATTGCAAATCCAAAACCAAGTACTATGTTAAAGTGGACTGACCAATGCCAAACAGCGTTTGATAACCTAAAACATCTGTTCGCAAAAGAGCCAGTATTGAAACACCCAGATACAACTCTACTATTTATCATTCAAGCGGATGCCAGCGATGTAATGGTAGGAGCTGTTTTATTGCAAAGAAATAAAGAAGGTAATTTACAACCATGTGCATATACATCTAAGAAATTTAGTCCAGCTGAACGAAATTGGGAAATTTGGGAGAAGGAAGCCTTTGCGGTCCACTGGGCGCTACTGAACTGGAGACATTTACTAGAAGGAAGTTTACAACCGTTTGAGGTGTGGACCGATCATAAGAATTTAGAAGCACTCCAAAATCCACAAAGGTTGTCACCAAAGCGAGTTCGTTGGGCAATTTTTTAAAAAAGGTTTAACTTCACGCTAAAATACGTCCCATCAGGGAGAAACTTGGTGGATGCTTTGTCAAGGCTTCCTCAGTATAACAGTGTACGAGAGAATATAATCCAACCATTGATACCAACTACTAATAGAATAGAATCTTTACGATCCACAATACTTACAACCGACTTACCTACAATATTAGCAGAAGATGAATGGTTAATAAATAAAAATCAAATAGAAATGAAAGATGGGATCGCTTGGCGAGGAACTAAAATATATGTACCGAACACATTAAGATCAATAGTATTAAAAAAAAAATGAACAAACGAAGGCTAACAGTTATTTTTTTATTTTCTTAAAAAGTGGGGAAGATGAACAAACTCAGTGAGAAATACAGTTTAGTGATCAAAACTCTGATTATAAACAGCTGCTTTAAAAAAGAGAGAAGAGTTGCTCCTTCCTTTTCATCCTTGGGAAGCACATCCAATTGCAAACATCTTCCCAGGGAACCTGCCAACCATGGTTTTCACTACCCCCCAACCACAGGGCGGCTTGCTTGGGGACAATGGAAATCCTCCAGATTGAAGAGGAGATCTTGCAAGGTGTGTCCTCAGTTGATGCTTTCACAGCCTGTCCAAACTGCCTGTTCTGGAACAACAGGAATGGATCACGTTCTCTTGGTCATCAATTGTCATCAATTCTTGGTCTACTTCTGAAAGATAAACTGGTCAATGAATTCATTCTGGTCCGCTTCTATTTTGCATAGTGTTTGATACTCAACTCGGTACCTGAGGAACAAAGAAAGCAAAAAAATAATAAAAATGAGCTGGCTGGGCTGAAGACAGCTTGAACAATTGTGGGAGATTCTTCAGCTGGGAAAAAGAAACGACTGAAACAAGAGCTGATGCCTTCCATGTGTTTACATTCTTGAGTTATTCAAGAAGGACCAGAATACTTTGCCGAGTAAAAAAGAAAACCCTTCCAGCATTCTTTTGATTTTTTTTGGCAGATGTTTTATGACAACCAAGAACATAGAGAAGACCCTTCCCTGATGGATGCCGGGGATGGCCAATCAGGCTGGCTCTGGGCAGATGAGGGAGGGAGGAAAGTGTTCTGGGAGTGTTTGGAAAGCCATGAAATTAATTGGCCCCTTAGAATAAGGAGGCAGTGGCATTTGGCGTACATTTATGTTTAAGTGCTTTAGAAAACCTCCAAAGATAACTGTGACACCAATAGAAAAGAATATATGTACCTCAGGGTTGAACTATGGGATTATTGATGCGCTCTGTTTATATATAGTAGCTTTTCCTGCCAGGAAAGGTGGGGATGTGATTTTCTCCTTGTCACTTTTTAGATTACGGTACTGTTTTCTGCTTATTTGTCTGGTGTTAATCCCTACTTATCTGGATGTTAGCTGCTGGAGCGGATGCAGTCTGGTCTTTTCGTTTCCTTCTTAGTTTGTTTCTTTTGACTGGTGCGTAAATGTGGTTTATCTCTACGAGTCTATTGATGGCCGAACAGGTAGCAAACCCCACACTCATTCACACTGATGATGTTGGGTCATGAAATGTCTGCAAGCAAACAACCAAGTTCAGAGAGCCCAGGGGAGCATAACACTTAGTCTTGGAGGGAGTGTTGTTTTCCTCCTCAAATGCTAAATAACCTGCTCCTTCCAAAACGCACGCGCCCCTGGCTCTGTGCTACCTAGCAAGCAAAATGTGCACAGGGAGAGGATCAAAAGAGCCAAGGCGACAACGAACCCATGGAAACAAACCCTTTCCCCTGTTTACGCAATGCATGCGAAAGAGGGGAACCGATGCTATCACGATCATGTGATTAAGCAAGCCACTTTCTTTAATGTGGGGCCCTGACAGGTTGGGACAGCATCAGGCAAAATTCCCAATGCTGTGGTTGAATTGGAGAAAGTCAGCCTGAGGGAAGGTTTTAAAACATAGCCACATGCTTTTTTTAATTAATCTTTCCCATCAAAGCTAATTACAGTTCAAATTTCCCCAGGCTCAAGGTTGACTCAGCCTTCCATTTTTCCGAAGTGGGTTAAGTGAGAACCCAGATCGTTGGGGGCAATAGGCTGATTCTGTAAACTGCTTAGAGAGGGCTGTAAAACGCCGTGAAGCGGTATACAAGGGTTGTTGCTAGTGCTATCCTCCTTGGGATTACTCGTAAGCAAACTCCACTCAGCAGAGGCGGAAAGCTCACATCCATCCTTTGCAGAAATATCTTCTGTGACTTGCTCCACCCCCATAAAACAGCCCTCCCCCCAATATTTTTTTAAGTAGAGGAGAATCTAGGACAGGGCTTCTCAACCTCAGCGACTTTAAGAAGAGTGGACTTCAAGTCCCAGAATTCCGCAGGCCAGGTTGAGAAACATTAATATAAGATAACAAATCTCATGAGAAAAGCACCAAACGGAGGGAGCAAGACTGTCAAAATCTTGCACGATTTCACATCACAAAGTGTTTGTGTGGGTCTGGGGACAGAAAGAAAATAATATCTCTCCCTCATTTAAAGATCAGATGCTTTAAGGACAGGAGACCTACTGGGGCTCTAGTTCTTGTGACCAGGAAACCTAGGATGCACTTAGGACCTATTTGGGAATTCCTTTCTCCATTACTAACCTTTCCAACTGCGTCTTCTTCTCAGCGATTAATGCCTGGAGTTGTTGCTGTTGGGCCTCTCTTTGCTTTGCTATGGACTTCAGTAAGTTACGGGCCCCGATTGCCTACAAAGGAGAAGTCTTCATTTATTTTTAAAGTATTTTTGTCTTCTTGCCGGCCTTCTAAATGAAGCTAAAATGGTTAGGGTTGCTCCACCTCTAAAGAAACCTGTTGATCCTCCATTGCTAAGCATCTAGGTATAGTATAGAGTAGGGGTCTCCAACCTTGGCAACTTTATGACTTGTGGACTTCAACTCCCAGAATTCCTCAGCCAGCATGTGCTCAGAAAGATTATTGTTTAATGTCATTCGACTGTAAGTCGGGTGCTTTTGTGAAAGCTACTTTTTGTCCTAAGCGCCCTTTCCAGTATGCTTACCATGTTACGACTTGCCCTGCTTGAAAAGGTGGTGGTTTGTTTTACGGATTGCTTATTGTGTGTGACAGGGATGACGGGTGGCGTGTACGCACTTCACTGTGTTAATTTCAGTTAAGCATTTTGTGCCGAACATATTGCTAAATTCGCCTTCAGTTTCTAGTTTCATAGTCTGTTCATTTTTTTCTGGGCTAGAAAATGTAGCCCATCTTAATCCTTTTCATTAATTACACCTTGACTGTCAGAGTGTTTGCAGCGTGACTATTATGAGATAACCCAGGAGCAATACATAGCACATAGAGACGTAGACATTAACAGTGGTTTATATACAACAATTATATACAGACAATACACATGGTAGGCAAAATATCTTTACAAGCAAGCTTTCTGGCCAATAAAGAATCCTGTTCTGTTCTGTTCTGTTCTGTTCTGTTCTGTTCTGTTCTGTTCTATTCTATTCTATTCTATTCTATTCTATTCTATTCTATTCTATTTTTTTCTTAATACATGGAGAACTTCTACACTGAATGCTGGTCACAAGGAAAGAGAACCATGCCCTCTAATGGCTGCCTTTTATACACACACCTCTTAAGGGAATCTTTACTCTACAGTCTTAAAGGGAAATACTCTTACTATGCTGAATCACATCAGCCTACTTCTGGCAGCTATTCACTGCTGGTCAGTTCTTAAGTCGTAATACCTTAATACCTGTTGTATTAGTGTAGTGCTTTTGGGCTCACTTTGTTTGTTTCATAAGGTAAACTGGCGATGGCAGTATATAGACTCTAGGGCCGTGATGGCGAACCTATGGCATAGGTGGCACGCAGAGCCATTTTTGCAGACATGTGAGTCCCAGGCAAACTTAACTTACTGCGCATGCACGTGCTTCCCAGATGATTTTCGGGCTGTTTGAGGCCTTTTTCGGCCTCCCAGAGGCTTGAGGGAAGCCTCTGTAGCTTTTGCAGGCCGAAAAATAGGCCTGTTTCATCACTTCCTGTGTGTCCGGAAATACCGGAAGTGAGTAAACAGGCCCATTTTTCACCCTGCAAAGGCTGCAGAGGCTTCCCTCAAGCCTCTGGGAGGCTGAAAAAGGCCTCAAACAGCCCGGAAATCATCTGGGAGGCGCAATGCAGGTAAGGGGGGGGGAGGGAGAGATTGTGTGTGCATGCGCAGAGGGTGGTGGGTCTTCTGGGTGCTGGCACGTGAGCGCGCAGACACATGCGTGTGCACAATTTTTGGCACAAGAGCTCAAAAAGGTTAGCCACCACTGTTCTAGGGCCAGAAAAGGTTGGGTTGTGCTGGCTGAGGAATACTGGGAATTGAAGTCCACATGTCGTAAAGATGCCAAGATTGGAGACCCCTGGTTATAGGCCTCCTTTAAATGAGCTGAGCAGAAAGAGTTAATATTATGCTGTGCCCACATGACAAAATGACAGAACCTCTCTAGGCCAGTTCCCCCCCCCCCCCATCTTAACAACTTTAAGATGTGTGGACTTCAATTCCCAGAATTCCTCAGCCAGTATGGGAAATAATAAGAAAAACTTCATGTCAGAGGTTTCATGACTCACTTCCAGGTGGTGGATACTATTTTAGCATATATTTGAATAGTAGTTAAACACTATGTGACCACCAGGAGGCAGTGTGCTATCTGTGTTTATCCTTATTGAGCCTCATCTGCCTCCCGATGCTCAAATAATGTCTAGCAATCATTGGTAGGCAATGACACTGCTATGGTGCAGTGGTCGTCAACCGGTGGGCCGTGACAAAATTTTGGTGGGCCGCAGAGAAATGCCCCACAAAGCACACCCAAAGCCCTCCCACTGGCTGGCTTCCACCCTTCGGCCAAGCGCAAACCTGCAAAAAACAGCACAGCCCTCACTGGGCAGGACGAGGTAATGGCGCTGTTGCATCAAGAGGGAGCTGGCGGCACAGGCGGACTGAAGCAGCAATGGAGTTGGCCAGAAGGTTCAGGAGCGCCACGCTACTTGCATTTGCGCGACACTCCTGCACCTTCCGGTTTGCCTCTCCTGGCCTGGTCTCTTCCTCGATGGCCGTGGGCTGTAGGGACATCCCGGGACAGGGAAAGTACTGTCTGCTAATGGTGGGAGCGGGCGGAGGGGGCAAGTCTGCGCTCACCATCCAGTTAGAGATCCAGAATGGGGCAGCAGGAGCGGCATCAGTTTCCTCGTCCCTCTCAGGGCTCTGCTTTGCTGCCACCCACCACCCATGGCCCAAGCCATCACTGCCTGGGGAAAGCACAGGAAAAGCGAGCAGCAACAGCTGTTGCTAGGGCGAAAGAGCTGAGTTCGAGGAAGGCACAGGCAAGAGAAGATGGAAGCTGCTGCTTTTGAAAAGCACCGCTTTCTGTTGCCTGTGCCTTCCAATCTCTGCTCTTTCCCCCACAGGGAAAGTAGTTTCTGGTTGCTTTCTTTTCCTGTGGGGGCGGCGACCCCTGCTATGGTGTTGTCCAAGTGAATACCACCTTCAACTGACAATTTGCAACTACAGATAGTCCTTGTTTAGTGATACAATTAAGTCAGGCAACTCCATAGAAATGGCCACTAAATGGGAGATCATGTGACTGCAACTGTGTTTTCCTTTTTCTCACTTTCCCGTAAATTTGGAAGGGTCCTCTAGCATTGGGGTAATTAGCAAGAAGGGAATGAATGTTTGTATTTAATTCATTGGGGAGGAAGGGATTACAAGAGAGTAATTAGGCACACAATGGGGAATACACATCAAAAGCAATGTGGTAGTGCCAGAAACTGAGCATGCTATACAAACAGCCCAGAATATTCCCCATTATTTACTTGCTTACTCTTTTTAATCCCCTTCTCTCTAATCTCTGTACTCTACAACAGGGGTCCCCAACCACCGGTCCGGGGACCGGTACCGGTCCGTGGAACAATTTCTACCGGGCCTCCGGTTTGCTGGGCGCCGCCATCTTGTTTTGATGAAAAAGTGCTTCCGGTGAGCTTTTCCGGGTAGAAAGCGGCGTTTGGGTGCTGAAAGAATCCTCACGCCTTAGTTTCATCGGGGGGGCGGCTTCGAACAAAACTAAGGCGCGAGGATTCTTTCAGCATGCATGGCAAGGCGAGCCGAGCAACCGTCCCGAAGCCGTCCCGAAGCCCATCGACACAGGTACAAAGGAGGAGTTGAAGATGGCGGGGAGAAGCGGGGGACAACTGGCTGGCTGGTCGCTCGGCTCGCCTTGCCATGCGTGCTGATGCCGGTACCGGGCCACGGATGATTTTGTGATGCCGGTACCGGGCCGCGGCACAAAAAAGGTTGGGGACCACTGCTCTACAAGATAGTGGGGGAAAGGAAAAACAATAGGTTAGGTACAGGACAGTGGATTAATTGTAAGGGTGATTATGTGACTAAGAGATGCTACTTGTAAAATGCAAGTGATAGTTGTATCTTTTTAGCACCATTGTAACTAAACAAGGCAACCAGTAATACACAATGGCAAAGGACACAGAATACTTCTTGCCCTCTTTAAGTTTTATAATGGATTACATTAAAAAGAAAGTGAAAACCTTTTAAAAAATGATGGACACCTTGTTGATCAATTAATCTCCCAGAGCTATTTTTGAGAAGTAATCCTATTTAGTTCAGGGGGATGGCTTCTTGATAAATGTTGTAATTTAAAAACAAAAACGTACTTTGGAATGTATCTTTTTTTAATATGGGTTATTCTTATAAAAAAAAACCCCACATAATTCAGCTGTAAAAATTCCAGCCCTTAATCATAATTACCATTTTTTAAAGAAAAGAACTGGCACCTTAAAAAAAAAAGTATCTGTTTTTATTTTTAGAATGTTGCTCTTCTAAAGGAGGGCTACACAAACAGAAACAGATCAAACATTTTTTTTAAAAAAATCTGATACAGCAGTTTAAAAGCATAGAATTCATTAAAAGAGTGTTAATATAATTATTTAACATATATTTTATGTTTCCTGTTTCTATCCAGGCATGACATCAAGGCAGCGTATAAGGCAAAAGGGTAAATAAAAAAAAAACTAAAAGACCTATTTTAAACACCAGTTCTAAATCTGAAGCAGAAAGGCTACACCAGGATTATCCAGCCTTGGGAACTTTAAGACATGTGGACCGCAACTCCTAAGAATTCTGCATTCTGCTGTCTGGGGAATTCTGGGAATTGAAGTCCACACATCTCAAAAGTTCTCAAGATTGGGAAACACTGATTTAAAGACAAATTAGCTGCAATACAGCCCAAGCCATCACGAGAGAAAATGAAGAAAATGAAAATGATGAGAAAATGAATCGATTATAACATCCCCATACCATCTATCATACCTTCCCTACTTACTGCCACAGTTGTTAAACATATCACTACAGTTAAGTGAATCATGCTGTTGTTAAACAAATTGTGAACCCCACAGTCATTAAGCAAATCCAGCTTTCCCCATTGACACTGCTTGTCAGAAGCTACCTGGGAAGTTGTGAACGGCAATTACATGACCCCAGCACGCTGTGGCATAAAATTAATCAAAATTTACTTAACAATCACCTTGCAACCATTGTAAATACATGTGCCTAAATTTTGATCCTATGACCAATGGGGATGCTGTGGACTAGTTGCAAATGTGAAGACTGGTTGGAAGTCACTTTTTTCAGTGCTATTATGTGAACAATCCCTAACCAAATAGTTGTAAATCAAGCCTTTTTTTTTCTCCAAGCACACTCTCCTTCAATTTTCTCTCTCACACTAGCATCCCTGTGAGGTAGCCTGGCCAAAGAGAGCGTCAATGACTCAAAGAGAGATTTTGGAGCTGGAGGGAGGGACCGAAATCAGGGCCTTCACATCCTAAGTCAAACTACCACTCTTATACCACATGTGGAAGCACTATCTTGCCATCAGTGCTTATATTAAAAAGAGAGAAAAGTAATGGTTCAGAAGTCCTCAAAAACTATCCCTAGAGGTTTCAAAGCACGCTCATGTCTTCTCCAGCCTGGCTAGTAGTACCTCCTCCCATAGAATCCTGCCGCCACCACTGCCTACCGTTATTCTACAAGCATCCAAGAGACAGGCTCTAAGCTGGTCCCGTGATTTAAAAATTGGCAGGTTATCATTTTTAATTGTTTCCCTCCATAGTATTTTTAAAAGTTAGCCAAGGTTGAGTGCTGAGATATTTAAAGAGAATGACTACCCATAGATCAGATATGCTTTGAGCCAAAACATTAATACCTTTCTACTCAAAAATGGAAATACTTTTTGTTTTGCAGGGGGCGGGGAGAATGAGGGAGTCTGACCTTCAAATTCGAGGTGGAAATATTCCTTTATTATGCTCCTTTACCTTAATCTTCTCATTTTCTGTGGCTTTTGCTAGCTGATCTACAAGTTCAATGAGGTTGCCCACTATTTTTTTAAATTCGGCAATTTCTGTAAAAAGGAAGAAAGCAGTAAAAGAAAAGGTCAACATCCAACATCATCAGTCAAAGGAACACAGAGTTAATATGGCAATTTCTATTATCGTTTTTTAAAGTGCTAAGTCATAGTCACTGATTTGGAACCATTGGAGAAAAGCGCCTCTGAAAATTTGCTCATCCAATCAAACAAGAACTTTTGAAAAATGTAAATCTCCACCAATGCTCGCAGACACTGCTCAAAAAAATAAAGGGAACACAAAAATAAGACATCCTAGATCTGAATGAATGAAATATTCTTATTAAATACTTTGTTCATTACATAGTTGAATGTGCTGACAACAAAATCACACAAAAATTATCAATGGAAATCAAATTTAGCAACCCATGGAGGTCTGGATTTGGAGTTACACTCAAAATTAAAGTGGAAAAAAACACTACAGGCTGATCCAACTTTGATGTAATGTCCTTAAAACACGTCAAAATGAGGCTCAGTAGTGTGTGTGGCCTCCACGTGCCTGTATGACCTCCCTACAACGCCTGGGCATGCTTCTGATGAGGTGGCGGATGGTCTCCTGACGGATCTCCTCCCATCCCCCAACTCCTGGGCAGTCTGTGGTGCAACGTGGCGTTGGTGGATGGAGCGAGACATGATGTCCCAGATGTGCTCAATTGGATTCAGGTCTGGGGAACAGGCGGGCCAGTCCATAGCATCAATGCCACATGAGGTCTAGCATTGTCATGCATTAGGAGGAACCCAGGGCCAACCGCACCAGCATATGGTCTCACAGGGGTCTGAGGATCTCATCTCGGTACCTAATGGCAGTCAGGCTACCTCTGGCGAGCACATGGAGAGCTGTGCGCCCCCCTAAAGAAATGCCACCCCACACCATTACTGACCCACTGCCAAACTGGTCATGCTGGAGGATGTTGCAGGCAGCAGAATGTTCTCTACGGCATCTCCAGACCCTGTCACGTCTGTCACATGTGCTCGGTGTGAACCTGCTTTCATCTGTAAAGAGCACAGGGTGCCAGTGGCGAATTTGCCAATCTTGGTGTTCTCTGGCAAATGCCAAACATCCTGCATGGTGCTGGGCTGTAAGCACAACCCCCACCTGTGGACGTTGGGCCCTCATACCACCCTCATGGAGTCTGTTTCTCACTGTTTGAGCAGCCACATGCACATTTATGGCCCGCTGGAGGTCATTTTGCAGGGTTCTGGCAGTGCTCCTCCTGTCCCTCCTTGCACAAAGGTGGAGGTAGCGGTCCTGATGCTGGATTGTTGCCCTTCTACAGCCTCCTCCACGTCTCCTGATGTACTGGCCTGTCTCCTGGTAGCGCCTCCATGCTCTGGACACTACGCTGACAGACACAGCAAACCTTCTTGCCACAGGTCGCATTGATGTGCCATCCTGGATGAGCTGCACTACCTGAGCCACTTGTGTGGGTTGTAGACTCTGTCTCATGCTACCACTAGAGTGAAAGCTCCGCCAGCATTCAAAAGTGACCAAACCATCAGCCAGAAAGCATAGGAACTGAGAAGTGGTCTGTGGCACCACCTGCAGAACCACTCCTTTATTGGGGATGTCTTGCTAACTGCCTGTGCTTTCCACCTGTTGTCTATTCCATTTGCACAACAGCATGTGAAATTGATTGTCAGTCAGTGTTGCTACTTAAGTGGACAGTTTGATTTCACAGAAGTGGGATTGACTTGGAGTTACATTGTGTTGTTTAAGTGTTCCCTTTATTTTTTTGAGCAGTGTATATTCTCCAGCATACAGGCCTACATAGCCAAGCACAAACAGACAGATGACACAAGCAGCTGTTCTCCCCAAGAGGAAACCTTTTAACTTGCTTTTGGAGATCAAGATTAAGATAACTCTCCTTTTGCAGGGCCCACCAGCCACAACAACTTGAACCCCTATCCCTGCCCATAGAAACCCCCCCCATCCATTTCCAGCATAGGGAGAGAGAGATCTCTGATGGTCAGGTTGCTAGGATCTGCAGAAGTGAGAGCTGAAAGACAGAAAGGGCCTGGTAGAAGTTGATGAGATCATATTTGGCCACAGTTCCAAATTCAACAGGCCATGATAATCTCAGGTCCCAGAAGTCTTCGTCTTTGTCCTGGTCTAAATGAGCTATTTAGCTGGATCAGCCAGAAAGAAAGCTAAACATGTAGCCAGTTATGGCATCTTCCAGATGGGCTAAGCTACAAGTCATTCCACAACCATCCCTTGCTAACCACATCAATGTGAATGAACCCGGCCTCCAACATTATCCTGACTCTGCAATCAGCCAAGACGACTTACTGTCTACAAACAGTCTGCATTCCTCTTTCAGCTCTGTGGTTTGTTGGGCCACCTCTGGATCCAAAACCCTCAGTTTGTTCAGCTCGTCAAAGTGGAGACCTGCCTCTCCTAGGATGTCTTTTGCCATTATAAGCTCTTTTCAAGGAGCTGGAGAAAAGAATCAGGTTGGAGAAACATCAAGAGAGGAGGAAAGAACAGGCCTCTGAAAATTAAGATATGAAGAAATTTTAGGACAGGAGTCCCCAAACGTGGCAACTTTAAGACTTGTGGACTTCAACTCCCAGAATTCTGGAGTTGAAGTCCACAAGTCTTAAACTTGCCAAGTTTGGAGACCTCTGGTTTAGGAGTTTTTCCATATCTTGTAAAGCTAAATAAGAAAACTTTCCTGGGAATAAAGAAACAAGCAATACCTCCAATTCCCTTTTAATCCTATTTTTAAAATTAGTGTTCATAATATTTACTAATGTAGATGATTATGCAATCTTGCAAATGCAATTTTTCTGGGTTTCCTCATTATGTCTGGCCACAAAGCTTATTCCAGAGTCAATGTGCTCAGGACTGCAGTTTGATTTGTGAGGGTTGTGATCCTAAAGGCACATTTACTTGGCAATGAACAGACTGATGTTGTCAGCTTATGCTTATGCTTTTAAGTTGTGGCAGGTCCAACAGATATTCACTGCTTGAGAAAACCACAAGCTGGACCAGTAAGGAATATATTGTGAAAGTTTTTTTTTCCTGGGCTTCAATCCCCTTTTGTTGGGAGGACTGGGGCAAGGGGATACCCCAAACTGGTAAGTTTTAAAATCTTTAATTATCGTGATGAAGGGGGATTGCTATTCCCTTGGGAGGGGGGTCCACAGTGTTTCACCATTCATACCCACAACTTTTCATAAACTGGAGGAGACAATTTAGAGAACTCTTAAAAATGGGGCTCCCTTCATCCCAACATAGAGATGGGGGGGGGGGAAAATTGGGCTCTCATTCAGGAAACACCAGTGCTTACAGCACCCCCCCCCCCAAAAAAACCTGGTGTCCTCCAGATGTGGGAGCCTTTGACTCCCAGAATTCCTAGCCAATTACACCCTGCCCAATGCTGTTGCAATACAATTCTTTGTTTCGAGGAGCCACCCGACGTCATTCTCTACCATCGCTCCCTTGCAGCTGACATTAAATGGCTGCTCCTAAATCTGGAGGCTCCATCTATTCTAGGACATACAAGCGAGCAGTCTCCTCCTCCTCTTCTTCTTCTTTCCCACCCTGCCTCCCCTTGAACCCCTTCTACTTACCTACAGGGTTCTAAAAGCTTCCCCGATGCCCAAAGCTCGACGCAGCCTTCAGCTGCCACGGCGACAGAAGAAACAACAGCTGCCGCCGCCGCCTGTGGCCCGGCCCACACGGCTTATCCTATGCGCTCGTAGGGGGGAAAGAAGAGCGCCGGCTTCGCTTGGCATTCTGGGAATCGTAGTTCGGTGGGCAGAATCCAAAGCGGAGGAAGGGGGGAGGGGTCGCAAGGAAGCGGGGCACGTACGCGATAGATGATCCTGGAGAAGGGCTTTCGATCTATGACCGCAAAGATCCCACGCAGAACTCGTTTGTTTGTTCACTTATTCAATTTCTACAAACTCCCATCTCAGCATCTCTGGGTGGCTAGCAGTTATAGTAACAGTAACGGAGTTGGAAGGGACCTTGGAGGTTATCTAGTCAAGCAGGCAACCCTATACCATTTCAGACAAAGGATTGTCCAATCTCTTGTTTAAAACTTGCAATGTTGGAGCATTCACAGCTTCTGGAAGCAAGTTGTTCCCCTGATTACTTGTTCTGTTAGGAATGTCCTCCTTAGTTCCAGGTTGCTCCTCTCCTTGATTGCCCGGTAGTTTCTATCCGTTGTTTCTTGTCCTGCCCTCTGGTGCCTTGGTAAATAAATTGCCCCCCTCTTCCTTGTAGCAGCCGGGGGTTGTAGTTCTGAGACTAGAAAACAGTTAAAACAATGTAAAACGGCAGAAACATAGAAAAAATAAACACACACAGCAGCCAAATTGGCGAACCAACTAATGTAAAGCCAAGAAACGGGGGCTCTCAACATCTACAGGTGCCCCTGTAAGCATGGAGGTCAGTCCCATCGATGGAGCCCTTTTCTCAAGTCTCATCACAATAACATGCATATTACAGCTGAATTCATACAACACAAATAACTCGGTCAACTGAAAACGTAGCAGCTGTAATTGCACAACATAATAAATCTGGTTTGTAGATTTTGTAGCTTAGCATGTTGTGCAAACCCAATTTTGTTTCTTTGACCGTATTGAGTTAATCCAAAAAGGGTTTAATCCAATCAGTCGTTTAAACCTGTCAAGTAGAGTTTTGGACAAGAATATAAGTCTGGGGAGCCCTAACAGATATTTTCTTAAACCAGGAACAAGCCACAATCAATCCAAGGTAACTCACTTTTGAGTAGATAAACAGGGTCACGTATATGTCAAAAAGTTTTTTTTTTCCAGATTAGAAAAAGTTGAAATCTTACACATTACTATCTCGGTCATCTTAAGAAAAGTATTGCCATATATTCTCCAGATGTGCTGATTGGTAATGACAGGAGTCGAAATTCAACCGATATGGATTTTACCGATTTCTTTTACTGAGTAAAACGCCCTCTCCATGATTTCCTGCCAGAAAGCGCTCGATAGCTCCGGCTTCGGCACGCGTGCCTGCCTGGATTGGCGAAAGATACAGCCGTGGCTTGTCGGGAGATGTAGTCTCGATGGCCTTCGACTGCGTATATCGGGAATGGACGCTGGCGCGCGGGGCCTGTCGGGAGTTGTAGGCTGAGTTCTCGCGATGAGGAGAAGCCTGTTGCTGCAGCCCCCAACTTGGAGCTTGTCTCTTCGGCCGGGATTGAGAAGCTGAAGGTTCGGCGAGTCGCTCGGAGCCGGTTGAGCTCAGTTCCGCTCCTTTGCCTGGCCGTCGCTCGGGGCTCCCGCGGAGCCATTGGTGGCCTAGTGTGGGAGCAGCGCTGAGCGGCTCGGAAGCAGGTAAAGAAAAGAACCAGCGGTTGGCAGGGCGAATCGGGTGGGAGGGCCCGCGTTTGGGGCAGAGACAAGGGGAAGTGAAGTTGATTCTGTATTTTGGGGACGAGAGGTTTGAAATAAAGCGAGGTAGGCGGGAGTAAAGGTAGGCTGGGTGAAAGAGTTTCCTTTCCTTTTTATTTACAGTATTTGTATAATTTATAGTCCCCTCCCAACCTCTTTTAGCGGCAGAGATAGGGAGTCCGTCGTTTGAAACAGGCTGGAGGTGGGGAAACGCTACACCTGTTGAAGGGTAGCCCAGAGTTCAAACCCAGGAGAAGATCATGGTAAGGCTACTTGGTCATTTTGAATAAGGTTGAAGAGAAAAGTTTCGGAATACCTGTTACATTGGATGCCTTAAGTTTTAAAATGAGATTAAATGAAATACAGGGATTCTCCCCCACTCCTGGTCATAACTATGCTACCTTTGATATACAGCCCCCAACGTGCATTCAGAAGCAAGTATGCTCCTTTGCTTGAAAAATTTACAGTTGGGTACCCTTGTTCTGTAAATACAGCTAGGACAGCAAAAGCACTTAGACTTATATACTGCTTTACAGTGCTTTACAGCCCTCTCTAAGCGGTTTACAGAGTCAGCATATTGCCCCCAACAATCTGGGTCCTCATTTTACCCACCTTGGAAGGATGAAAAGCTGAGTCAACCTTGAGCCTGGTGGGATTTGAACTGCCAAATTGCAGGCAGCCCTCAGTCAGCAGAACCTAGGCCTGCAGTACTGCACTCTAACCACTGCACCACTGTGGCTCATGGATGGTGTGGTGGTTAAAGCATTGGATCGACTTAGGTTGAAGTCCAAATGCAACCATGGAAGCGAGGGGTTAACTCAGCCAGATGTATCTGGCGGGGTTGAGGGAACTCTTTGGGGATTCTAGAAAGGGAGCCAGGTGGACAGAAAGTGAGATAGCAATGTAAATACAGATAGTCCTCAAATTATGACTGTAATGGAAACGGCCCATTACAGTTGTAAGTCGGGTCACCCACACAACTGACCTGATTTTATGACCTTTTTCTTCAGTAGTTGTCACATGACTTCAGGGGAGAGGATGACTGTCTGAACTTTGAATCCAGGTTGTCGGATCTGTCAGAGCAACTGGCCAAGGACTACGTGTAGTCCAAACCCTAAATGAAAAAGTGTGAACAGAAAATCAGATCTAAATAGAAAGAACAAAATGAGCCTTCAGCAGGAGCTGTACAAAAATAAGTGGCCATTTGGATCCCACCCTTGAATTGAGTCCCTGCATGTACTATATATTCTTATACAGGGAGTCCTCAACTCACAGCAGTTTATTTAATGACCAAAGTTACAACAGCACTGAAAAAAGTGACTTATGACCATTTTTCACACTGTTGGAAGAAATATCCAGGTCCAGGTCCAAGCCAGGAGAAAGGCACTGGAAATAAAATGGAGGCTGATGGAAAGAAAGGTTCCCTTTATTGATGAAGCAGAACCACCAACCACGTGTGATTCTGGGACAGCTGATAAAATGGAGTTTAGAGTGGATGGATTTTTATACCTTCTGGGTTCCTATGCGGTCACGTAGAGGTCATGGGTGGCTCTATAGGCAAAAGGAGAAATGCAAATCCTAGGTGTTTGAGCTAATTTTGTCAACCTTTGGCTTGATTGTGTTGCTTAGCTGGAGTCTCTGACCCAGTCTTTCTGAATGACTGATGAAAGTCATTTCTATAAGCTGGCCTCCTCAATTCTACTAGAGCAGGGAAACTCTGCTGGTTTCTGTTTCCCTTAAGGTTTTTTTTTCCATTTCTCCTTTAGGGGAAATATTCTATCCTGCCTTTTTAATATTTTATTATTCGGGGAGGGGAGCAGTGGTGGTATTCTACTGGTTCTGCCAAGCCAGTAGCAGCGATGAGCAGCGGAAAACGAACCGGTTCTCTCTGCTACTCTGCTGTTGGGCCCACCTGGGCTCCTATACTCACCTTTATCCTCTGCTTTTGAAGCACAGCTGCTTTGTGTAGCACAGCAGAGTCCGTGCAGCAGCTGCTGAAGCGACTGGGAAAGTGCAGGCTTGCAGGAGGTGAGTTGGAACACCTCTGCACCTGTGCAAAGTGAATGTTTGGCCTGTGCATGCACGCAAAGTGTGCATGCGCACAAAGCCCGCCCACTAAGCCATGCCCACCAAACCGATGGTAAACATTTTTGAATCCCACCACTGGAGAGGAGCTTCCCACAACACGACTTTTGTAGCAGCCCCACGATCATGTGATCAAAATTCAGATGTTTGACAATTGATTCATACTTCCAACCCATTTCTGTGTCTCAAGGTCATGTGATTACTTTTTGGAACCTTTTGACAAGCAAAATCAACGGGGAAGCTCGATTCAGGTAGCAACCGTGTTACTAACTTATCAACTGCAATGATTCACTTAACTATGACAAGAAAAGTCATAAAATGGGACAAAACTCATTTAATGAATGTCTTAACTTTAACAACAGACATTTTGGGCTCAATTGTAAGTCGAGGACTACCTGTAGTTTTCAGTAGTTATTGGTGTCACCAGGACAAATTATCTTGATGCTGAACAACTAATTGGAAATGTTTGGACAGCAATGTGAATGATAAAACTAAAATTGCTATATTCATTTAAGAACTTGAGTTGATCAACTTGGTCATTGAGTGAAGCAGTTGCTAAGTGAAAACATGATTTGATGGCCTCACTTCTGCTTTCTTTGGCTTTACAGACTTGTGAAGGTTGTAAATGCGAGGATCGATTACAAAGTTAGTTTTTCATTAATGCTGTAACTACAGTTGCTAAATGAGGCAGTCACTAAATGAAGACTGCCTGTAAAAACTGCCAGTTTAAAACAGAACTGGAAAAGTTAAGCTTGTTAGAATATCCCATGAATCTGAAGACAAATTCATGAGATATTTCGGTGTGTGTTCGTGTACACAGAATCAAAATGTCACTAAGAAAAGGGTTGACTTGATGGCTTCCAGGTGTGTCTGGATTACATGGCCCATCAGGCTGAGCCATTGCTGGTGATAGGAATTACCATACAAATATATCAGAAGGGCAGCTTGCTAAGGTGCACATTGGTAGCTTTTTTTGCAGAAATGGAGAACCAAGTTGTCATGCTCCTGGTGGAGACTGACTCTGAGGGAGAGGAGGAACAGCCGGCAGGGAGTGGAAGTGCGGCTCCGGAGGTTGTGGAGGAGGTTGGGGAAGGGCAGAGGCCGGCTGGGCAGTCAGAGGAAGAACCAGGCCCCTCCCCTCTCCATCCTAGGGCACACGAGGAGAGGATAAGGGAGAGACTTGGTCTATAGGGGAGGAGAAGGTCTTCTTCATGGGCTGCAGCTGTGACAACTGGATAAGAGGACAGACATGCGTACCGACCAGTGCTGGAAACAAAGCATGGAAATATCTCTAGTTTATTGTTCCTCTCTGAGTTCGGCGTCCTTCCCAGTGTGTGTTCTGATATCACTGGATGTCTTCAAGCCCTTTTCTTGCCTGGTTTGTGTTGTTTTTCACTCTATATAATTTAAATGGCATTTCCTCCTCCTTGTAACTGCTTGTGTGGGAGTTTTTTGTCTCCAGTCAAGGATATTTGGAGCTTGGAAGCAAAGTGAAGGAATAAAAG